CATTGGATATGTGCTTTGAGAGGATCGGTGGTTTGTGATTGGCACCAAGCATAGAAGTGACGCCACTTGTAGAGGTAAGATCTCTGGTGAGGAAATACTGGGAATAGAAGCCTCTGCCTCGGAACTCGGAAGGAACCACTTCTACCGCACCTATGGTAAGTAGGTGCATGACCTCCTGACGTAACAGAAATTCGTGAGAAGGGTCACTGAAAAGGGACGGGGATGGAGGGTTGGTGGGAGGTAGAGTAGAGAAGGGAATGGTGAGTCCAGAGGTTATGATCTCCCTGACCCAACGGTCCGTGGTGATGGCGAACCAACGGCGGCAATAAGGGTGCAGGCGGTGGTGGAAAAGCTTGGTTACTCGTGATGGAGACTGCAATAGGGAGATGGTACGCAGACCCTCGACAAGCGCGTCAAACTTGCTGCTGAGGTTGTTGTTGATTCTGATGCTTATTAGGCTGCTGGCAGTGACGCTGGGGGCGCTGCCTTTGTTTATGTTGGTCGTAGGGCCTGAAGCGTTGGATGGAATAATAATAAGAAGAAGGCCTTTGTCTGTTATACGGCCATGCTCTCCTGCACCTGAAAGGCGGAGTGTACATTCCGAGGGTTCTTAACGTGGCAACAGCCACACTGAGGATGGCCAACTACTCCGCCCAACTTGCTAACCACGACTTCGATAATTACTCGAAGTTGGTGCCTTTGATACAACATCTGCCAGACTCCAAAAGGGATGTACTAAAATCCATTGTGCAGGAGAGTTATACAGCAGCCCGTAATGCACTTCAGATATCTCTGGATATTGCCGACTTGCTTCCCGCACTACGGCGACATCTGTCATCATGCGACGTGCCTCTTGGCTCCACCTTGCTTCTGTGCCAAAAGATCTACAGCCCAAGGTGGAGGACCTTCCATTTGATCGAGCCTCCCTGTTTGCCCAGAACACGGATCAAGTGTTCCATTCCGGAAAAGGCTACGAAGCGCATTTCTTAAAGCCGGGAGAGCCGGGCATGTTTAGTGCGGCGGTCTCCGGGGGAAGAAAGAACTTGAGCTGGTCGGAGCGGCCCTCAGAGGTTATAATGGCAAGAGAAACTTTTTTTATTATAACTATTAACTACTAACTAAGGGTATGTCTACACTACAGCGCTAATTCGAACTAAGCTAATTCGAACTAACGGATCCAGACTAAAAAACTAGTTCGAATTAGAGTTTTGCTAATTCGAACTAGCATGTCCTCATTAAGTGGACCCTGAACCGGGGTTAAGGATGGCCGGAAGCAGTGCCGGCAGGGCATCAGAGGAGGACTTAGAGCGTGGGGCTGCTGCCTCAGGCTAGCCAAGGGCTGTGCTTAAAGGGACCCGACCCCCACCCCGGACAGACAGTTCTCAGGGGTGCCCCACTTGAAAAGCAGTCCTGGCTTGGAGTGCCCTGAGTGCCCACACTGGGCACATTACAGCACTCGGCCATCAGACCGGCTGCACTTGCCGCAGGCTGCCATCTGGGGAGAGGGGGCAATTGGGGGGCTGCAGGAGGGCTTCCACCCCCAGAAGCCCTCAGAGCCAGCCCAGTCCGCCCCATCAGGGGCTCGTACCCCATTCCTCCCTCACCTCCTTCCACTTACCCTTCCCTAGCCCCCCTTCCTGAAGTACAAAATAAAGAAAATGTGTGGTCAAA